ATGTGTGTGTGTATATATATATATATATGTGTGTGTGTATATACATATATGTATGTGTGTGTGTGTGTGTGTGTGTGTGTGTGTGTATATATATGACTTAATATAAATCTGATTAAATTTGCCATAAATATCCACATGGGTATAAAATGCAAAAATATTAAAAATCATATTTTACATTCTTTTTAATAGAAAATATTTTGAAATATTTGAAAAGTGATTCAAGGCAATAACTTAAAACTTATTTCCACTCTAATATATGCCTGAGTTCATTGACCCTTTATGTGTGAGTGCAAGAGAAACACCTGGGCCATGCAAGACTGAAATAAAACTGTACCACCTGGGGGAAAATGCACACATCTCTAATACTTCAATGTTGATTCCAGGAGCCCTAACAGAATTCATATGTGTAACAAAATAATGTTCTTGTAAGTAAGCATTCGATTTTCCTTCCTGGACATGGAAAATGTTCTGGAAGCCACTTGGCAGAGGCTGTTCATTTTAGTGCCTTGCACACTGAAAAAATGCAAACACATGTCCTTGTTGTGAGTTGGTGTGAGTGATGCTATCAGTGTGGCTCAGTCCAATTCTGTTTCATTCTTTCCATGATAAATCCTTCTGAATGTATAGTTTATAATCTTTTCAGTAGTACTGTGGAACTATATTTATCCCCAATGTAATACAAATTCATTTTCAGGACCCATTTCCTAGTGAGAAAAAAAGTTAAAAGTAATACCCATAATCAATATGTTTTGTTATGCTGTCACTCAAAATAGTTGTGAAATTATTCAGTTATTTGAAATCATTTCATCATCATGTATGTTTTGAACAATATTTAAGGATCAGAAGAGTTATAACATTTGACTGGAGTTATAAGAATACTGCAATTTTGTGAAACCCTATTGCTCTCAATTTGATGAATTCACCCAGAACTTTATCCACCTCTGAACTCCCCCTATTGATTTAACTAAGGGTATCTGGGGCTCTCTCATTACTGATTTGATGAAGACAAAACTGATCCTCTTTCTTCCACTATTTTTCTTCTTAAAGTTCTCATTCCAGTGGTGCATTCCTCCTCAGTAAATCGCATTGATGGCATTTTTAACGCTGCATTGGCAATGAAGACAGTCCTCGACTTATCAGATTTTCTGTTAAATAGCTTCCAATCTCTCTCCAATCTACTCTCTGCTTCTACTCTTACATTTATCTAAGGTCTTCTGCAACCTCCTCCTGACCTGACTCTCTGATTCAACATAATTATCCCTCCTTTTAAGCCTCACATTCCCCTTACTTGAATTTTTCATATCACTGCCAACCCTGTCTTTGCATGAGACTTTGACCATGACTCCCTCTCTGCATACTAAGGTTGACTCATCTCTGTTGTTCCCTTGGAATCTATAGGATTCACTCTCCTTTCTTTCATGAAATAAATGTATTTCTCTAAGCCTACTAGCTTACTCAAGCAACTCTTTTAATCCTGCTTTATTACTGAAATATTTTCTAAGTAGAAGAAAACAAGTTATTTCACTTTGGTCAGACACCCTACACACTGTATCCATTCTATCCTTAAAATTAATTTAGATTTTTAGTATTTTTTAAATGTTATTTATAAACATCTTTATTTCACACACATTTTTATAGATATCTATGATATTATCTAAAACATTAAGGTAAGAAAAATTTTCATAAGACAAGTTGTTGTAGTAATATATAGAAATGTTTAAAAATGTTTGAAATGTTTGAGCTAACTTTCCTTGAAACTTAAAGCGTGATATTAAGAAGACATTCCCCACTGCTCTGAAGCGTGTATCCCTCATAGATAAGGATTTGAACTTCAGTAAATAATTCAGAGTGACTTGTCAAAATAAACACTTGAGTGAGTGATGTACTCTCCCTAGATAACTACATGTAGCCCCTCACCCTGTTTGACATAAACATGTGTGCATTGATGTAATTCATAGATAGCCACCTGGACTATTGCAATTGGGGTACAGGCTTTAAAAGTGGGGGTCCCAACCAGCCTGGTGCTTGCCTGTCGAGACAGCCACAAAGGCACGTCCTCTTGTCAGTCCAGCAAGCGACACCGCTCCACGCTCCTCTGTCTGCCAGACAACGGAAGAATGGCTAGTACCTCCCCATGGAGACATGACTGAGCTCTATGGTGAGGAATGCCAGCCCCCTGCATCCGGACCAGACCAGCCTAGCTGCTGGACCCCTGAGGACAGCACCACTGGGATCCCACTTAAGCCTGTACCCACAGCACCAGGAATTGTGTGAGTAATAAAATGCTGTGTGATTTGCAACTGCATATGTTTTATGTGGTATGATTCCTCCGGCAGTTAATTGAATTATTTTGCATACGCTTAAAATTTAAATTAAAGCCTCTGGTCTTTGTTGGTCCTAAAGCCTGCCACTCTGGTCCTGCTTGCGTAGAGCAGACTCTTCACTAGCAACTACTTGAATGTCCCAACACCTGCACAGTTAAAGTTTATCTCAAGGGATGCCTTAGATCAGCGGTTCTCAACCTGTGGGTCGCGACCCCTTTGGGGGTCGAATGACCCTTTCACAGGGGTCGCCTAAGACCATCAGAAAACACATATTGAATATATAATTACATATTGTTTTGTGCTTAATCACTATGCTTTAATTATGTTCAATTTGTAACAATGAAAATACATCCTACATATCAGATATTTACATTACGATTCATAACAGTAGCAAAATTACAGTTATGAAGTAGCAACGAAAATAATTTTATGGTTGGGGGTCACCACAACATGAGGAACTGTATTAAAGGGTCACGGCATTAGGAAGGTTGAGAACCACTGCTATAGGCCAACCCATTCAGGAGTATATGCAAAAGGCTCTCAGGTCCAAAAGGGAGTGCTCTGTCCACACAGGCACCAACCAACACAGTTTCCATTTGAAGACCCTCCACTTGAGGGCCACTGTGTTTGAGCAGGTTCTGGGCTTACGTATCTAGAACCCATAACATCTGTCTCTTTCCCAGCCTTGGAGTCAGCAAAGGGTCTGGAACACGTTGTTGGGCCACCTTTGTATCCAGATATAAAGGTCAAAGCATCCGTTCCCTCCCTTTTAGAACAATTTAGTTCATTTTCTTATGGGCTGACATTATCTACGTTCAAATGCTTTTCTAGAGTTTTTCTCCAAGGAAGTCCATACAGCTTGGCCAACTTTCCTCTATTTCTGAATTATAGTTCTCTACTAGTGTATTAGTTTGCTAAAGCTGCCATAACAAAATACCACAGAATGGGTGTCTCAAACAATGGAAATCTATTTTCTCACAGTTCTGGGAACTAGAAGTCCAAGATCAAGGTATTGGTAGGATTGTTTTCTCCTGAGGCCTCCCTCCTTGGTTTGCAGATGGCTACCTTCTCACAGTGTTCTCACATTACTTTTCCTCTGTGGGCACAACCCTAGTGTTCTCTCCAAGTATGTCCTAATCTCTTGTGATATGGACACCAGCCAGATTGGATTAGGGCCCACCCCAATGGTCGTGGTTTAACTTAATTAGCTCTTTCATGACCCTGTCACCAAATACAGTCACATTCTAAAGTACTGGGAGTTAAGATTGCAACATAGGAATTTTGAAGGAGTACAACTTGTCCATAACACTCAGTAAATAGTTACTGAATTCCCGTGATGTTGCTGTGTTTTTTCTAAGCTATAAGAAAACAGCGATGCAGAAGATAGAAAAGGTGCTTTCTTTAGTGGCATTGATGTGTATTTGTGTTTACAGCAATGGGAGATGGGCAATAAATAAGAATATATATATTATTTATATATAGCATATATATTTTTATCAGATAATGGTGATTAAGAAGAATTAAAATAGGATAAAGTGATAATCAATGTGAGTTACTGATGGTTGGGGCAACAGTGCTGTATTAGGTAAGGTGGCCAGGAAAGATATTTTTGGGGAGATGATATTTGAGTTGAAATATAAATAAGGAGGAGTCAGTCATGTGACGGTGGGGAAAGGAGGATTTTGTTATTGCCTGCTGATCCTGTAAGAGAAATAAACCAAAACACACAACCATTGCTTTTTAAGTGAGATAACCCTGTCATCTAGCATATGATTTTTACCTTGCATTGGTTTTGACTTAAAACTGATATATAAAGGATGGTTAGCCCTGGGTGAGTGACTCAGTTGGTTGGATCATCATCCCATACACCAGAGGGTTGTGGGTTCTATTCCCAGTCAGGGCCCATACTTAGGTTGTGGGTTTGATCCCCAGTTGGGGTGTGTACAGCAGGCATAGGATTGATGTTTCTCTCTCACATTGATATCTCTCTCTCTCTCCCTTCCTCTCACTTTAAAAATCATTAAACAATTTTTAAAAAGGATTATAATTAATACATTAAAATATTATTATAGAAGTTGATATAAGGTATTTTTAATATAACATGGTGTTCATGAAATATTGATGGGTTAAGAGAATAAATTATAAAACAGTATGTATGATATGATCTAACTTTTTTTAAATGCATGATTTAAATTCTCATTTTAGCCCTGGCCAGTATGGCTCAGTTGGTTGAGTGTCATCCCATGTACAGAAAAGTTGCCAGTTAGATTCCTGGTCAGAGCACATGCCAGGGTTGCTGGCAATTGATGTTCCACTTTGACATCATGTTTCTCTCTCTCTCTCTCCCCCTCTCCCTCTCCTTTCCTCTCTTTCTGAAACTCAATAAAAATATTTAAAAGTTCTCATTTTAATAATCTCTGTATATCACAATACCATTCATTTATTTTGCAATTAAAACAGCTAAAACTATTGTAATAATAAATAAAACTTTCCCAGAAAGGGCAATAGCTAACCTCAGGAAAGGAATTGCTAAGGTACAATTTCATGTATTACAGTGAGAAATAAATTTAGGTAGTAACTAAGTTGCATGTTTTGTCTCTCTGAGGCACAGTGTTATGTAGTTTATATGGGTAATTTCATCCCATTCTTATAGCAAACCCTCCTACCTCATTTTGTGGGTTTCATTATTATCGTCATTTTACACATGTGGAGATATATAAATGAATTGTGTAACCCTTTCAAAGTTAGATCCAGTGATCAAGCAATAGAACCAAATTTTAAACTCAGGTCTGTCTGATGCCAGAATTCAAGCTTCTAGCCAGTGTTTTAATGCTTCTTAGGAGAAACCTGTGTTGTCGTATAGAAAGGTGCTCACAGCCCGACTTATCTGCACGTGAATTTGCCCATTTCTTGGGGAAATGGGAGCATGAGGCAGTTAGGGAAGCTGGCACTGGACCCACTAGATCAGTGGTCGGCAAACCGCGGCTCGCGAGCCAAAGAGGCTCTTTGGCCCCCTGAGTGTGGCTCTTCCACAAAATATCACGTGCGGGCGCGAATGTACAGTGCGATTGAAACTTCATGACCCATGCGCAGAAGTCGGTTTTCAGCCTGGGCGAGTCTATTTTGAAGAAGTGGCGTTAGAAGAAGTGGGGGGTGTTGGTCAGTTGGGCGACAGGAGATGCGGTGTGGGGGAGGTGTGCTTGATTCATGCAGGAGTTGAGTGAACCAGTCAGTCAGCAGTCTCATGTGCAGTGGTTAGTGCTAGTCGCTTCCACAAATCGCACACGGGTGACAAAAGATCGACGAAACAAATATACAAGACGAGTGTGGATGGGAGAGTTGGAAGGGGTCGACCTCAGTGAACGTACCTCAGTCAGATTGAGGACGCTTTTAGCAAAGGCCAGCTTAGGAGTACCCTAATTAAGTTAATAATAATGTACCTACCTATATAGTTAAAGTTTAAAAAATTTGGCTCTCAAAAGAAACTTCAATCATTGTACTGTTGATATTTGACTCTGTTGACTAATTAGTTTGCCGACCACTGCACTAGATCCAATAGACTCATATGTGGATCCCAGAGGCCCCCGAATTAGTATGTGTGAAAATTGGGCAAGACCCACTGGACGTTGTAGTAAACTAGGAGTGAGACGGAAATCATTTCTGTATGAAGCCAGGATATAGGAAGGGCTACACGTTTAATGAAAGGACAAATCAACAAAATAATTCCACAGGCAGTTAACAAGAAGTATTATTTTTCCTGGTTTGGCTTTGGGTGGAGGATTTAAAAAGTTTCCTCTAAATATTCATGGTGTTGTGTTATCAGCCCTTCAGGGTTTGGGATAGACATTGTATGATCGAGAAGATACACACTGAGAATTATAAAACCAAATGATATCAGATATATTGCATCCCAATTGTTTGATAGAGGCAGAAATAGATATTTCCCGGAAAACCCATCTTATTCCAGGATTGAAAATATTCCCAAAGATGAATTCATAATATCAAATTTTATGATGCACAAAAAATAAGTCACCTTGAGTGAAAACCAGCAGAACCTACAAACAAGAACACCAGATGCAAAAAGTCATCAGGAGTTGGCATTAACAGGTAAAATTCTGAATAGATGCATAATATCCTTAAATAAATAACTTCAAAAAACACAAGGAGCAAGGTGCTTTCAAAAATGACCGCTCCTATGTGTAAAAGACCCAGGTAGAGTTCTTAGCAATGGAAATTTATATAATTTAAATTAAAGAATCAATTGAAAGGTTAAATGGCTTATTGAAGCTGAGGTGTGAATTAGTAAACTGGAGAGCAGGTCTAAAGAAATTGCCCACAATGTAGAACAGAGAAGCAAAAGGAGGGAAAATGGGAATGAATAGACTAGAATATGATAGAGTGAAAGTTGAGATTTACACACGCTATCATTTAAAAAACAAAAAAGGGGGAATTTGCTGGAAGCCGGTCCATCCTTGCTGCTTGACACAGTCGCTGCAGGGAAGAAACATCTGCACAGCATATGTTTCAAGGGACCTGGCATATATAGCATATTGTTCTTAATATGTTTGCTCTCCTTAGTGCCATGTGTTTTAACCAAGGTCACCTCTCCGAGAAAGGTTGTTTCCCCAGGTGGGGATTTTTCCCCGAGGTTAGGGAGGGGATACAACCCCTTAATTAAGTGCCAGGCGGGTAGTTAAGCTACATAATCTTTACTCCCTGGAATGGAGATAAGAAACGCCCTAACCTTTGTAATAGAAATTGACAGGATTAAAATCGGCTGGTATATGTAACAAGGTAACAAGACAATAAACATCAGATCCTGATCAGTTCCTAACCAGAACTCCGACCAGAACTTTGGCTGGAGTAGAGGTCCTGAGGTCCTGACTAGGCGGCTGATCAACTGAAGGCTGTCTCCGTGTCATTCCTTCTTCGACCCTTTCACAGGGGTCGCCTAAGACCATCGGAAAATACATATATAATTACATATTGTTTTTGTGATTAATCACTATGCTTTAATTATGTTCAATTTGTAACAATGAAAATACATCCTGCATATCAGATATTTACATTACGATTCATAACAGTAGCAAAATTACAGTTATGAAGTAGCAACGAAAATAATTTTATGGTTGGGGGTCACCACAACATGAGGAACTGTATTAAAGGGTCGCGGCATTAGGAAGGTTGAGAACCACTGCCTTAGATAAACACCGCAGATCCTTTCCCGGGATCTCCTTGGGACAAAAACTACTTAGAAAGATCTACTGAAGACTAGCTGGAGAAAACCCTGATAACAATGGTCGGAGTGTCATGGAGACTGGTAGGCAGTGCAGAAGTGTGAGAAGGCTGGCCAGACTCCCACAGATAGCAGCTGAAGTTGTGGAGGAATAATTCAACTATGGGGGGTTCCCATTAAGAACTCTGGGGTCTAAATCCCAAGCTGGGCTATCCAGCCTAGAGCATCAGAACTGAGAAAAATGCCCACATAACATTTGGCTGCGAAAAGCAGCACAGTTGCTCTCTGTGAGTGAGAGATGGCTGGAAATGCAGGCACCCTCCTGAAGGGCCAATGCACAAAATTTCATGTGCAGCCACTCATGTTGGGCTCCTGCAGAGGGAGGGTAGAATGGACTGAAGCTGTGTCGGCAAAAGCCAGGTTTGGGGGCTCTGGGATTGGACCACAGAAGGCAGCCTCTCTGGTTTCCTGTGCTGAGTCATTCCCTCACACTGCAGAGGACATCTTTCTCCTATGAACCTTAGCTACCCAGGCAGTTTTCGACTAGGGGTAAGGCAGTTGTCCCACATTGTTGGAAGAACTCTCACCTCACTCTGTGGTCGATAGCCTGAGGCTAATCAAAACTGAGGATCAATGGGACTGCAGGCAGAGGCAGGTCTCTGGAGGCTTTTAGTATTTGCCTTGTGTAATCTGCATAATGGGCTAAGAAAAGTGGACCCTGGTGCATATCTTGGTCCTTTCCAAAGGCACCCAGTCCCAGCAGAGGGAGCCACAAGCTGTGGATTGCTGATAACTCCAAACAGAGTACTCAGAGCCAGTCACAAAGAGTCTGACATTGACCTGCACCAGAGATTTTGGCTCGGAGCAGATCTACCTAATAAGCAGACACAAACTCAAACAGGCAGCCAAAATGGGAAGACAAAAAAAAAAGAGTCCCAAATGAAAGAACAAGAGAATTCTCCAGAAGAAGGGCTAAATGAAATGGAAATAAAAAATTTATCATAGAGTTCAGAATAATGATGGCAAAGATGCTCAACTCCATGATAAAAGATATAGTAATTATAAAGAAAGACATTGCACTAATAAAGAAAAGAGTGGAAGGAAAGAATACACAGCAGATTAGGGGAAGCCAAGGATTGGATCAATGAATTAGAAGACAGGGCAGAAAAAAAATCACTCAATAAGAGAACCAAAAATTAAAAAACAGGATAACTGCTTAAGAGAGCTATGGGACAACATAAAAGGTAACAATATTCACATAATAGGTGTGCGAGAAAAGGCAGAAAGGGAGAAAGGGGTAATGAATGTGTTCGAAGAAATAATGGCAGAAAACTTGCCTAACCTGGTGAATAAAAAAGTCACACAAGTTCAGGAGCTACAGAGAGTCCCAAGCAAGAAGAATCCAAACAGGCCCATGCTTAGACACATCATAATTAAAGTGCCAAAAATTAAAGACAAAGAGAGAATCTTAAAGGAAACAAGAGAAAAACAATTTGCTACCTACAAAGGAGCTCCCATAATGCTGTCAGCTGATTTCCAATCAGAAACTCTACAGGACAGAAGTGAATGGCATGAAATATTCAAGGCAATAAAAAACAAGGATCTGAAACAAAGATTACTATATCCAGCAAGGCTACCATGCAAAATTGATGATAAAATAGAGTTTCCCAAACAAACAAACAAACAAAAAAGGTGAAAGGAGTTTATTACCACCAAACCAGCACTGCAAAAAATGCTAAAGGGACTGCTGTGATGAGGAGAAGAAATAGAGAGAAAAACCTAGGCATACAGCATTAAAATGGCAATAAATAAGTACCTATCAATAATAACCTTTAATGTATATGAATTAAATGCTCCAATCAAAAGACATAAGGAGATGAATGGATACAAAAACATGACCCAATTATATGATGTCTACAAGAGACCCACCTCAGAACAAAAGACCCACACAGGATGAAAGTGAAAAGATGGAAAAAAATTTTCCATGCAAATGGAAAAGTAAAAAGAAACTGGGGTAGCAATACTC